GGTATGATATTCTCAGTATATAATTGATTGTATATTTCTCATTTCTTTTATAGGTCGAAAAATATCTGCAACACGAACTAGAAAATTCCAAAAACCCGATGGCTCGTGGGCGACAATTGCAACAGAAGCAGGTATGATATTCTCAGTATATAATTGATTGTATATTTCTCATATCTTTTGTAGTTGAAAAAAGTACCGCAACAATGGCTAAAGAATTCCAAAACGTCGATGGCACGACGACAACAATTTTTAATGAAAGAAGTATGATATTCTCACTATATAATTGATTCTAGATTTCTCATTCCTTTCATAGGTAAAAACGCAACCAAAACAAGAACTACAACGATGGTTACCCTGGAGAACGGCTGTAAAGTGAATATAGACCAAAAAGGAGCTAGTAAGTACATCTAGCGACTTGGTTTCTTTTAATTCAGAAATTTTTTTTAATACTTATTCTTTTTTCTATCTTACAGTCCAGAGAATGAGCATACCGAAAGAGCACCAGGTAGACGTGATACATCAATTTTTGAAAGACATGGAATTATACCAACGACCAGGTTATATAGCACCAGGCAAAGTTACGACAACAAGCCATGGTGAGCGGTATGGATGGGAAGGAGTATGCGAAGAATGTGGAAAAGTATGGTGTATTTCTGTTTCACGTGATAGAAAAAATCTTATGATCCCGCGATGTAAACATATATCTGGTGACACAAAATACAACACGAAAGAAACCAGAGTGCTCTCTAAAGATAAATTCATTAGAGCATTGCAAAATGAAAAGCGCAAGACAGAGCGAAAACCTAAATGAAATCCTGTAACTTCTAACTATTTAAAATATAACATTGTTCACTAACACTCTGTCAACATATATATTTAAATAAAAATAAAAAAAATATAAATTTTTTCCTGAATTTATTAATTCGTTTCTGTCAAGTTGTAACTTGACTTTATCAGAATTTAGAAGAGAAAAAGAGGAAAAACGTAAAACTTACCTAAATGGATTGGTTATACTGAATATATAAGTTGCTGATAAAGGATACTTTATGCTAAAATACACGCGATATTTATAATCTGGAGAGACATCAATATATACCCTTGTTTGAAATAGTAATCAGTTGGATATCATGTGTTATGTTATGATGTATTTCTTATTCATTCTGTTGCTTTGTAAACCCCGATGAATACTTTGTCATATGGATGTGTGATACTTCTTTGTAATACATCTATTGATATCTTTCATCTAGATATCTCTTCAAATGTAATATCTCTTATCTGAATTTCTTTATCTAAATTATATGTTCTCGAGGTATGCCATCGATGCTAGGAGTCCGTTTTCAACGAACCAAACGAAGAAAGGAGCGAAGGAACCGACTCCGATAAAAATATGCCATAGAACCACCCCATACGCATCACCATCGCCTACATCAGCATCATTATCAACTCCACCACTAATAACACCATCTACATCACCATCCACCCAAGATCAAACACCACGACCATCCTCAAGATCCAGCTTGGTATTCTACAACACCAGTTGTCCCCAAGAATATCACCAGACCACCGTCAACCTATCGAACGATTCCGATAGTGATCAAGTCACTCAATGTTAACCATTCAGTGACCTCATCATAGCAAAACAAATTGTTAAAAATTTTGTCTCTCAATATGAAGATTGAGCAAATGAAATGGTTTATGAAATATTTGATTATATTGATATTTATGATATTTATAATGGTTTTTCAAATTTAAATAAATGATTTGAAAATCTTTATTTCTATTTAACTTCTAATCTTCAAATAAATATTTCAACAATAGCAAAAAGACAGTTTAATGAATATAATGAAAACATAATTAAACCTACTCGAAATCGAATAACTTATTTACGTTTATCAAATCCATTTAGTACAATTACCCAGATCGATGATCCCTGAAGAAGTATTCCTATGAGTTTTCGATGAAAAATGTCAGAAAACCTGCTCGAAAATGCCAGGAATTGGATCCTGGAATTAGTTTTAAGTGGAACCGAACGGATTTGGTTACCGGATCTGTTCAAAGAGAGTACTGCTTTCATGAAATCTCCATAATACTATGGAACCAGTCGTTTCTGTGCCGGATTGTCCCATCTGAGTATAATATTTTCTCCACCAAAAATACTTTGTAAATTTGTTCAGCTTAAAACATTAGTTCTTGATAAAACCGATTCAATATGTTTTAAAAATTTATTAAAACATCCGATAAACTTACCAAATTTATTATCATTAAATATAAATTTAATTGATTTTATAAAAGATTTAACAGAACTTTATCTGCAAATATTTCGTTTACCAAAATTAAAATTATGTCTCATCTTGATATATCATCGATATCAACAAGAAAATGTAGGGTCAAGCATATACAAAAGAAACACACACACCTCAATCAAATAATAAAATGGAAAAAAGTGCTCGAGAAAATCGTCATAAATTAAAGAGGGTATGTATGATCGAAGAAAATATTTTTCTATATGTAAAATAACTTGTAATCGACTATTACTGTTCAATTTCTTTTACATAGAATGGGTTATTGATAAAAAACGCCAACAACTCTAATAATACAGTGCCAAGACAACAGGAAGACATCCTTTCGAACGGTACCCCTCTTGCCCATTTCACTAACACGTGATATTTTTATCCCCTCCTTCCTGTTTCTTGTTCTTTTCCTATCGATACATTTTCCTTCTCCTCCGCGCTCTCTAGTCTCTCTCTCCTTTTCTTTCATGTTTTCTTTCTATCTGGGCTTTATCAACTATATATATATATATTGTTGCCACTCACTGTAATCATTATTGAATAAAATAACTTATATACATCGATTAGAAGTATATTGTATCACAAAGGCTCATTTTCCTTACAAACACGAATTGTAATACTACGGATGAAGAAATTTAAAGATTTGTGAAATGAAAATGTAGTTTTTCTTATATATCTAGTGTCAGTTTATATAATCGTAGGAATGTCTTAGGGATTTGCTTTATTAAAATATTTTTAGCAATAACCCATACATTCTAACTATGTATGATTATGATAACTCTTCCTACTATTCTTGAGCATTTTTGGCTGTTAAAAATATTATACAAATGTACACAAATTAAAAAAACAAACTTAGGGCACCTTCACTGGATCCATCAAAATGTTTTTCGCATAAAACCTATCCTTTGTGTAAAACAATGAGAGATAAAAGTTTTCATAAACTAACCTCAGATCCAGATTCCCCGACCATCTTCGATTAATTATTCTCTAATGACCGTCGATAACTTTTCACTTATTCATAAAATGCTGCAATCTACTTGGCTTAGACAAACAAATTGACAAACAGACAAACTTTAAGCATTTTTATCGAGTCTATAACCCTTTCTTTCAGAAAAGGGAACAAATATATTAAATCCAACAGAACATTTTGTTTATGAACCATTATTTCCATAATTAAGACTTGGGTAATATACATCTACTTTAATCTTTAGTTGAACGTACAAATAATTTACTCTATGGTTTATGGACTAGTAAACATATTAGTCAAAAGCAATATAAATACTTAGAGAGTAAATAAAGATGAACCTGAATTAGCCCACCCATGTCGACAAAATCGGGGCAAAATCGACGATTTAATCGCGATTTAGCACCCGATTAATTGTGAGATTTATCGCGATATATCGCAATAGGCCAATATTTCGATAAAAAGCGGTCGATTAATCGCGATTTGATAGACGATTATTTTTCGCAAAATCGCGATAAAATCGTCCGAAGTGACGATTATTTTTGGATGAAAATATAGTCATCATAAATGACAAAATTTTAATATACTAGATAATTTAACACCATTTTATACTGCACTATGCATGCCACCAAAAATCCCGAAAAAATTGGTGATTTTATCGCGATATAGAAGCCGATTACTTGTGAGCTCTATCACGATAAAATCGTCAAAACTAAGGACTTTTTGCCGATTTTTTGTCGAAAAGTCTTGATTCATAATGATTCCGACAAAATAAGCATTCTCTACTGGTGATATAATCGTCAATATTTTAAAAAATCGCGATTCACTGCCCAAACCTTGGCGATTTTGAAGACATGGGTAGCTGGGTCCCTTCGAACCCCAGTGAGATTCAGTTTAATTTCTTGTATTCTTAACTTTAGTCCCAAACTTGTCTTGCGAGATATGAGTTGATGACATTTAGTAGAATATACTGATAACATCAGTCAACCAGATCTTACTGTTGCTAATGCGAAAAATCATCACAAAGTATCCGCTGGTGCTGAGTATGCGATGCACGATCCGGGACTTTCGATAAATAGAATATGTCAACAAGGTACAAAAAGACTGAATAAATATTGTTCACGCTAGTTATAATTCTGTTTGTTCTTCTTGCAGTTAAATCTTCTCTAGAACTACTATACTTCCCTAATAAAACAACGACAGTTTTATATTTTATTTGTCTTTCATGAACCTGGGATTGACACATGCCCACAGCGGGCAATAAGTGACAGTCCTATAGATATACAGTTTGGGATTAAAGAAATGGGTAACATGCGTATGAAATACTTTAAAACGGTTCTTGCCAAAAAATATATCAAAATGGGAAAAAGATAAATTTCGTGATTAACAGTTGACAGCATCAACATTGCTTATCCCGATGTTACTTGCAATAAACAATGATAGTAAACGATAGAAAGACCTACTAGAATCATATTCTAGGGTGAATCTTAATGACTAACTGTAGTTTAGTACCTAAGTTAGTGAAAAAAACTATAGAAATTGGTTATATAGCGTGTATATAGGGTATATCAGCATTTTTCAAAAAATGCCTAACTTTTTTAAAGAACAAAAACTTTTGGGCATTCTAGGTGATAGACCTTGAGGTCCTCTATCACCAGTATAAATATTAGGGCGGTTGCTTGTTGGCGCGTAATATACGAATGATCCACATTTTGGTCCGAAAATCTAAGGAGACAAGCAATATCGAAGTTTTTATTGATATTTAAGAAGTTTTTCGAGATCCATCAAAGCTTCTGATAAGTATGGCATATACAAGTCATCTTTGTTCAAAGATATTCCATGAAAAGCGCTGAAAAATCAAAAAAAAACGAAAAAAGTCGAAATTGACAAATATCAAAAATTCTGCTCGTGTATTGACTTTTTCGGTAGGAAAAAGTGATCCGATCGAGCTGAAATTTTTACCTGGTACTTACCTCACTAGTACCTCTAACATATAAAAAATCAGCAAAACCTGAGAGGTCGAACTATCACGATCATCTGGATTTCTCAGAGACGTACTCTTAAGAGTAAATAAAGATGAAGTTGAATTAGCCTATCTCTATTTCTTACCTAAAACACATAAGCCAAATACACCATTGTGACCAATAATGGCTGGTCTTCAATCTTCTACCATAGGAATTTCTAAAAAGTAAAATGAATTATCAAGACCCTTATTTGATCGTTAAGCGCTTGATATAACTATTATAAATGGTGCTCACTTAATAAAACAAGTAGAAAGATGGTCGGCTAATTATTTTACATCGGCCACATCGCTTATAACAATGGATGTTATAGATCTATATACAATGATTCTACAGGAAGAAGGAGTAACAGCCGTTAAACATTTGTTAGAAACATCCAAATTTAAAAAAAACTGATGGTGTTAAAAAAGAGATTATCCTAGCTCTTACTAGATCTGTAATAACTAATAATTATTTCTATTTTGATGGGTCTTATTATAAGCAAATAAGAGGTGGAGCAATGGGATGGCCACTTGCTCTGACAGTATCACATACATACATATACTTTATTGAAGGCCCAATATGCAAATGGGCTCAAAGAACATGTTCAATTCAGATGGTTTAGAAGAATATTCTATATCATTATATCTTTATACAGGATCATTCGAGAACATTATCTTTTTCTATAGTTCATTACGTAGTATATGATTAAAATTCATCTTTTCATTTAGTTTAAGTCACTTGACCAAATAGGTGAATATTCTACACTCATAAATTATCTTTCTTGTAGACTGTAATCTAGCAGAAATAAGCTGTTCGCTTGATTGCTTGTATGTCTGCAATTCACTCATTGGTCGAATAATGATGTCAAAACAAAAGGGATTCTTTCCGGTAGAAGTTGATCAAAGGTAATCGGGGTTCAGGAACTAGAATTTGGAGTTAGTTTTTTAAACTTTTTCAAGGAATATTCTTTTATACAAAAGACCATTTTTTTACAAAAACATATTTCTTCTAAGGGTTGACTGGAAGATAATCAGAATCGAGGAACTCGAAACTTGTGTCAGTTTTTGAAATTGCTTGAAAACATAGTTTTCTGGTAGCGAAACCACATCGTGTTTGCGAGAAAGACATGTCCCACTCTCCAGACAAACGTTACTCGTCTTTATATGGGATCATATAATAATAAAATACATATCTATAGTCAGGTTCATAGTAATCAATTAAAATTGATTTTTTTCTAGAGTTTATCTTACGAGGGAACATCCCCAACTGAAGTACGAAAAACCCCAAAAGGATAAGGGCCCATAGGCCTTCTGTCCCAAGTTATAGGCAATATATTGAAATTTTAGCCTATGGGAGAGTATGTAGGAATAAACCGAATGACGGTATTTTGACCTGAGATTTTGCCCATAGAGAGGCCTATATGTGACTAGAATACCCTAAAAATCTCAGCTCAAAAGAATGTTTGCTTCTCGAGATATTAAAGTCTCAAAAAACAGGAAATTCTAGTATGTTTCGTGGGATATACGTGATTTTTTGAGACTTTAATATCTCGAGAAGCAAACATTCTTTTGAGCTGAGATTTTTAGGGTATTCTAGTCACATATAGGCCTCTCTATGGGCAAAATCTCAGGTCAAAATACCGTCATTCGGTTTATTCCTACATACTCTCCCATAGGCTAAAATTTCAATATATTGCCTATAACTTGGGACAGAAGGCCTATGGGCCCTTATCCTTTTGGGGTTTTTCGTACTTCACTGGGGTCTACATTATGCACTAGATCCGAACTCCAAAGCGATACTTCAGTTGGGGATGTTCCCTCGTTAGGTGCATAGGTAGGTGGATATCTTATATTCATATATTTTTGTATAGGATCCTTCGAAGGTCACATATATCTCTATAGTCAGATTTGCAGTAATCAATTAAAATTGATTTTTTCATTGACTTTAAGTTAGTTTCATACGTAAGTGAATATTCTATATGCATATATTTTTTGAATAGAAGCACTCGACTATAACATATATTTCTATAGTCAAGTTCCTAATAATCAATTAAAATTGATTTTTTCATTCAGTTTAAAATATTTCAATAGGTAAGTGACTATCCTATAATTACATATTTTACTATAGAGTCATTCGAGACTAACATATATTTCTATAGTGACGTTCATAAAATTGATTTTTTCAATGACTTTAAGCTATTTCCAAGGGTAAGTGAATATCCGATTTTCATGTATTTTAGTATAGAATGACTCGATTATAAGTTACATTATTACAGTGAAGTTGAGAATAGTTAATTAAAACTAATGTTCATCTTGAGTTTAACTTAGTTGAGTGGATAGATGAATACGTTATATTCATATATTATAATATAGGATGATTTGAGAATAACATGTTTTTATAGTCAGGGCCATAGTAATTAATTAAATTTTGTTTGATATTCATCTCGAAACTCTTCTTCATATAGAGAACAATCCGTATCCAGGTTCTCTTGCTTAAACAGGACATTGAGATTAGGTATAGGTTATCGTCACTTAACATATCTCGCAATGCTTTTATAGTACCTAAGATTATATGTAATGACTCTATTGACTTTTTCCATACACTAAAAGTTACTATTAGACTTTTCCACATATGCCTTGTGGAAGATAAGCTAACGAATACACTTAACAGAAATTTTTATTATATACAAATGTTTCACTATGAAAATATAATATACTTAAAAACGTAAACCTAAAGTTTTTCAACAATGAAACATTTGTATATAATAAAAATTTCTGTTAAGTATATTCGTTAGCTTATCTTCCACAAGGCATATGTGGAAAAGTCTAATAGTAACTTTTAGTGTATGGAAAAAGTCAATAGAGTCATTACATATAATCTTAGGTACTATAAAAGCATTGCGAGATATGTTAAGTGACGATAACCTATACTTAATCTCAATGTCCTGTTTAAGCAAGAGAACCTGGATACGGATTGTTCTCTATATGAAGAAGAGTTTCGAGATGAATATCAAATCAGTTTTTAATCAAATTATTTAGGTAAACTGACAATTAAAATTTTGATTGAAATCGACGAGAAATCGGTTTAAATTACGATTTTGAATCAGATTTTTCTGTTGATTGAAATCGATTAGAAATCAGTTGTAACCACGATTTTCAATCGGATTTTTCTGCAACAAAATCGTAATTGTAATTAGTTATAATCGAATTTTTACTGAATTTTAATCGAATTACAATTGGTTATAATTTGATTACAATCGATTTTAATCATGAAATAATCGGGTTTTAATCGATTTTAATTTGGATTTTGATGCAGAAAAATCTGATTTGTGATTATGATTATTGCCATACGATTTTTGAATTTTAATCAATTTTAATCAGGTAAATTTTTCACTGGGTAGAATAATCCAGAAAAAATAAGTGAACCCATTAATTTTAACAAATTTTCCGAAGAAAAATATATTTGGTCTTTGATATATCAAAAAGTTAAATTAGACATTTTAGTAATTATGTCTATTTTTCTATCATACACTATTAACGTTCAGACATGATAATTAACATTTGAAATATAACAAAAGAAATTATTCCCGTTAAAAACGAGTCATTACTGTTTGAAAAAGTCAGGGGTATTAAAGTAAACAAACTGATGTTATCCCTTTTTCTTTATGTCCTAAAAAAGATCTTATTTGTTTTAAATTTACTTCAAAATATTAAACATCTTTTTTTGCCAAACGACTTCTTCTAAGTACTTATAAAATGAGTAAAAACTCTTATTTATAATATCTTTCAAAAATTTAAACGAAAGACTTTTTTTCTTGTTCATTAAACAGCCCATGAAAGTCAACAAAAAATCAATTACTAAATAATTCTTAATCGAATTGCATTATCAAAAATACTCCAGTATTATAGAATAATAAGACTTTTTATGTAATTTGTTTTTCTTACAGTTGAGCAAATATAATAAGACGAAAAACTCTTTTATAGGACACTGGTATATGTCTCTCGGAATTTTCTATTTGCATTTTTTTGCGATTTTTAAAAATATATGTTTATAGACAATGAATAAATAAATATAAGAAAAAAATAGTTCATTTATTTTCACTTCGCATTTTCTTCAAATAAGTTGATCAATAAAAAATATTTGAGTTGTTTACAATGGTATTGGTGATTGAATATAAATTATGGATAATTATGATGATTTTAAAACAATTATCAGGTAATCAGATAGTTAGTTTTGTGATAAATATTTTCTCGTAATGCGATATCTCTTAAGAATTTATTCGCGATTTATAAATGTTCTGAAATATATGAAATTTTCGATGAATAGATTTTAATTCTATTTTAAGGGTATTTATTTATTTGATAGTAAAAATATAGTTTGTTACTTCATCGATAGTTTAAGCTGCAAAAGTTTTATAATCTTACAATAAATATCAAAGTTTTAATGATTTCAATAATTAAATATGTTTTTTTTCTTGTCTTTTAGCTGTTTCTTATAATCAACCAAGATTGTGTCCAAATGCATCATGGGAATTAAATGGAACAAATTTCATAACAAGTTATGTTGCTGGAGCTTATAGTGGTATTTTTATCAATACCAATAACACGATATATATTCCTAATAATGTAAGTGGTAGCATCCAGATATGGTCTAATGAAAGTTCTAATTCATTAACGACACTTTCTGCCAATTTGTCAAATCCATATTCTATATTTGTTACAACTAATGGTGATATTTATGTTGATAATGCATACTCGTATGGTCGAGTGGATAAATGGACAAATAATGGAAGTAACAGATCTACTGCAATGTTTGTTAATTCAGCATGTTACGGTCTGTTTGTTGATATTAATGATACACTTTACTATTCAATAAGTAGTCTTAATCAAGTTGTCAAAAAATTGTTGAATGATCCTTCAAGTACATTGACAGTTGCTGCTGGTGGAAATGGTGCTGGATCCACGCCAGATACGCTTCAAAATCCTAGTGGAATCTTTGTTGATGTTAATTTTGATTTATATGTAGCAGATTGTGGAAACAATCGAATTCAATTGTTTTTATTGGGACAATCAAATGGAACAACAGTTGCAGGAAATGGATTACTCAATTGTCCTCGTGGAATTGTTTTAGATTCTCATAACCAACTCTATATTGTGGATAGTAGTCATAATCGTATTGTTAGATCAGGACTCAATGGTTCTCAATGTATAATTGGATGTCCTAATCAACCTGGTTTATCGTCTGATATATTGTCTCTTCCAAGGACTCTTTATTTCGACAGTCACGGAAATATATTTGTCACTGATTATGGAAACAATCGTACTCAAAGATTTGATTTATTGAACAATTTATGTGATAAGTACATATGATTTATTCGATTGAAGAAAATAGTTATAGAGAGAAATTCAAATTATATCATACATTTTTCCGTTTGCTTATTTTCAATTAAAATATGTATATAATTGATTACTCTTGAGAACTTTTATGTAAGGCGATATTTTATTTGAATTATTTGGAGAATATTATGCGAATGAAATTTATTTTATGTAGATGACCATACAACACAACAATCGATGATGACAACAACAAGTGCAGGAGGTAATTCTCATCTATTTCATTTCTCTTTTTATTATATTAACTTATTCTTAATTCTAGTAAGCATTTCATCAACAATTATTAACCAAAATCTTTTGACAACTGACACAACTGTATTTGATCAGAGAGGTATCTAAGATTAGGATACATTTTTTCTCATATCGTTTTCTAATAAAATCGAAAAAAAATAATCATTATTTTTTAAAATAAATAGATTACCTTTTGAGGAGGACACAACTTATACTAATTTACTTATCGATTTCATCTTACTCAAAAATCAAGCTTTCAAAATTATAATAATTCCATTTATCATAGATAATGAAATTATTAGATATATTTCTAATGTCTTTCTTTATAGGAACAACCAATCAAGAAACAACGTCTGGAATGAGTTCATTGATAAGCATTACTAGTACAACTTCATTATCAAAAACAACATATGAAACGAGTTCAGTGACAAACCATTACGGTAACCTTGTTCTTTCTCAAACTCAAATAAAAGTTTAATTTTTTGAAGATTTTACTTCAGTTACGTCATCTGATCAGTTTACAACAAGTTTGCCGACATAATATTTTCTATTTTATTATTTTTTTTTTGATTTTTTAGCTCAATCACTCTCACTATTACCTTTTTTTGTTGCACCACCATGCTCTAATGAATATAAAATTGGTATGAATTGTAGTAGTTCAATCGCACCATGTGATATACTCAATCCATGTCAGAACTATGGTACTTGTTTCAATAATAATGAAACTCTCTATGGCTATACTTGCAATTGTACATCGGATTTTAGCGGTAGTGAATGTGAAATCAATAGATGTTGGAATAATGGTATAAAATATTTTCGTTTACTTTTTCATAAAAATATAAATCAATTATATTTTAGGTACATTTATTGAACGAACAGCAACAACATTTAATTGTTCATGTCAATCTGGATGGCAAGGTCTTTATTGTGAAATAAAGATAAACTATTGTGAAAATGTAACATGTTTTAATTCTGGTATATGTCGATCATTATTACTCGATTATACATGTGAATGTCTTAGTAAAAGTTTTACTGGAAGGCATTGCGAAATAACTCAAAACACAATGGTTATTCATCAAATGGTTTCGAAATCAATTGGTTATATATCAATTATTTTTATTGTCGGAGTTTGTATGTTCTTCGTCATTATGGATATACTTAAATATTGTTTTCGTATTGATCCAGCAAAATCTCAATTAAAAAAAACTCAACAAAAAAAACGACCAAAGAAAGCAAAACGTCCATTAATCATTCAAAAATTTGCTTATGTTAATGCATCACCTTTGAAAGCAAAAATTCAAGAAGAATCATCATTTATTAAAAGAACAAATATTTAAAATAAAATAGATCTTTTTTTTTATAAAATTGTATATGCTTAAATATCAATATCAATTACTCATAAAAAATTCGAATGTTTAATATTCTAAACCTTTCAAAAGCACTGATCATCCCATATATGGAAGGCCTCGCGCATCGTTGTTAATTATCTATATTTGTACTAGGAGTAATGGTGACTCACCTTGAAAATAGTATTTTTCCGTTCTACTTAACCAAAAGAAAAGTGATAAAATACACGCCTAGATATGAATCAGAATAAAACTTATTGCATATATTAATTGCACAACTTGTTTACAACATCGATTATTCATTGTGAGTATTAACTGCCATATTGAGTATGTATAGTTTTTATTCTGAATCATATTACCAACAAAATAAAGACAAATGACACATGTATACTTTTCTTTGCCACGTTTTTGTAATCTTTCACCATACTTAAGCAACCTATGTGAATGCATGTATATAAGGCAAACGTTTTAGTCATTTTGCACTACATTTATTTTAAATCAACTATTACGAAAAAACAATGACTCAATCAAACAAGACTACATCTTCTGAACAAATGAATGAAGATAATCGAATGGGTGTAAGTAAAAAATGATACTTATCTACGATCATTAATAATATCGATTTAAAAATTTCTTCGTTGTTTTTAGCCATTTGTTGTCGAACCTAAATATGATTGTCCTCATTTGGGTGACCGTGCTTATATCTTACTTCAACCAAATCAAACAAATGAAAATCAACAACCACCATGTACTGATTGTAATAAAACACAAGAAAATTGGGCTTGTCTACATGAAAATTGTGAATTTGTAAGATATTCATCAATAAATTCTATGTCATTACATATATTTTATTTATTTTGAATAGGTTGGTTGTTCTCGCTATCACCAAAAACATATGTTAAAACATCATGAAACAACTGGACATAATATTTGTCTGAGTTTCTCAGATAACTCAGTTTTCTGCTATGCGTGCGATAGTTATATCGACAGTCCACAATTACAAGGACTTAGTGTGCAACTCAGTCGTCGTGGACGATAAATCAAACAAGAGATATATAAAACTTCTATATGAATATAAATTTTATTTTTATTTCCATTAATTTTAAATGTTTTAATGAATTAATAAAATAGTCAAGAAAAAGTCAATACATAACAAAGATTGATGTTACTATATAGGATTTAATTGAGCAAAAATATCTTTATTGACACAAATCAATATAATCCAAACTGACTATTATCAACGTATGATATTTTTAGCACAACATATACCAGGGTATTCTATCCTAAAGTCTAGGAATCGATAAACTTATAAAATCTGATCGATATCTAAATTTGACTCATGTTAATCAATGGTTATTATTTGTTTTAATTCGATGAATATATATAGCACTTGTATTATTTTACATATATAATCTTTGATAGTATTAATTTATTGTTGTTGCACATGATTTTGATCATTGGTATTAATATTGGAAATCTTCTATTTTTTACTGTTGTTTTTATAAATATAATTTTATTTCTAAGTTATCTTACTCAATAGATAGAAATCATTTTCAGTTAATTTAGTATCTGTCGTAGATAATCTAGAGTATTATTACATTGATATATTCTAGTTTTAAATTATATTAGTCAAATTGTTGTGCTTGTAACGGAATAAACGTATAGTAGTTTCTGTAAATCATACTACTTAAAAAAAACAATAAAACAGAGTCAAGTCAGTATTTAAAATTTTATTAAGATTTCCTCGTCATATTTATCTTAGTTCTCGATCAACAAAGTATAACCAGTGCGAAACATAGTGTGATTGCTTCTGAATCGGAGAAAAGATGTTTTTTTTATAGTATGCATAATAACACATAATTACAATCTATATGAGACAAAAGTGGGATGATTATAGGCTTTATATAGTATAAATAATAAACAATCATAGCTGAAAATGATGGATAATATCGACTATTTTAGAACATCATTTATATGTTCATTCGATCTGATATTGAATTTGCATTGATCATCTAGAGTATTTTCTGTAAGAATATATAGACAAAAAATCAATATTAAAGTCTGTTACTATCCATATTGATCCAGTTTTTGACGAGAAGAGTTTTTATTTGAAGTTACAAGTAAAAGGACAAAAACAATAAAGAAAAGAAATAATTAAGCATGGATCGGATTATTTTAAGATTGTAAAATATAACGCATTAAAAAGTTTGTTTACATTTTTATCGTTGATATCAATGAATTTGAACGTAAAAATGAAAAATAATTTAACAAATGAACATGTATTTCTTCATAATTATCCGTAGATTCAGAATAAAAAATCAGTTGTATTACATTTTATTCTAAATATATTTGCGGGTTCGGGCTGTAATAAATAGAATAAACGACAGGAACATCTTGTATAAAAAAAATTGAGATAGTTATTACATAAAATATACAGAGAAGAATGAATGCAATGAGTCGACATGTTATTTGACGGATGCAATATCTGTTGTTCCATGATCTTGGATAACCAAGCATACCGATACCGATGAGAAAGCCAACTAAACCACCACCAACATGAGCTGAATGAGCTACATTGAATTTAATTATTAGAGGTATACTAACAACAATATGAGGTAATAAAAGTAAGGTTAATTGTAAGATTAAAAAACGACGTTGTTCAACATTTGCTTGAATTGCAATAAGACGATCAACAATTAAGAATAACATTAAACCGTACAAAGAACCGGAAGCTCCTGTAGCTTCTAAAGAAAATAAATAGAATGATTTATTTCAAATGCATTAAGAACTAGGATGACATTTGCATTTATCATGAGATTATAATCTACATCTACTTAGAAAAGGCAAAAAATTCCACCCGTCACTCGCATATTCCCATTAAAATTTTATAACTAGTAATTATTAAAATAATAAACTATTTTCTATTCAAATATCGTCATATAAATCCTTATATATTTCAAAACATTATTATCTATTTACGCTCATTCATAAAAAAAAAAAGAAAGATCATAAATAATTAATTTACCTTCTGTTCTATGTAATGTCATGAAACTTAAATTAGCACCTAAACCTGAAAGCCAGTAAATAATTGCTATACAAATTGAACCATATTTACGTTCTAACGGTATACCTTGTACAAGTTGTGCTAAAAGATTACTTAGTAAATGTAACCATTCTAAATGTGAAAAATTAACAGTAATCATTCGCCATAATTGATTAGGATATAAGAAAGTAAAACATGTTTGTTTGAGTACTTCATCATAATAGCACGTTCCATTCGTCGTCAATCGAATACATTTAACAACACGACTGCGAATAAAATGAGATGTTGGACGCATACATGGTATATAAAGTTTGAAAAGATGATATAAAGTCATTGCGAAATGTTGATCTTTTTTGCTATCATAAATGAATCGTGAGAAATAAATGGAGATATGTAAAATACTAATAGCAATGATAAATAATGGAAGATGTTGTTTTTTATTTGGTACATCATTAAGATTAAAAATACGTCGAATAAATGATTTAATATTATAGTTTCTAGTAGAAACTGGTCTTGCAATTTGTATTGTAAATGGTTCTTCTAATTCTAGACTAGATGCATCATATTTACTCATTATTCTACTGAAGTAGTTCACAACTTTTTCTTTCTCGTGATATTACTATATATTCAGGAAGAAAAATATTTACGTTCGTTCTCTTCTTTTTTGTTACGAAGCTTGTTTTATAGATGTTGGTGAAATATGTAGTTCTTTTTTTTCTAATATTTAGACGAGAGAAAGATGACTCAAAGGCATTTCTTTTCTTTTCTGTTCTGTATCGTAAAAGATTTCCTCAACTATCATCATAAAATATGTATTCCGATTGGCTCTGTCAAGCGAACTAAATATCGCTACTGTCGATTAACTTCTGTTCCCTCCAATTAAAGACATGCGTGATATGTAAGAAAAAAAAAGAAATTAAATAATTGACTTTGTATTTACAAGACTTATCGAAGATTAAAATGAAAAACATAAGAAATTTTTAGTACTATAAATCAATTGATTTATTATTTTTCTTTATAAAGTAATCCGTTGACTAAAATTAATCTATTCAGAAATATTCTCACATAATTTTATTTCTTAATTATGTGAAGTAGTTTGCATTCTATTAGAATAAAGTACATATGTCAAGCTATAAAAGACACATTTATCTTTTTTTATTACACAATTATGGATATAAGTTCCAGTTTCTATAACGTGGTAATTTTTATTAACATTCTTCTGTTCATGATTACCTTCTGCTTCGTTCTATCGTTCTTCAATGCTAATGATGATATATATATATCGAATGACAATAATTGCTTGTACAGCTTGTATATCGATTCACTTACTATTAGTCAATATGCTGTCATCTGAATATCAATGTTAACTAAAGTATAGAAAACGATCCTTTTACTATAACATTACATAATCATAAATCATATTTGATCATCTAATTAAAAAAAAAGTTGATTATTTCAGAATAAATTTATTTAACTATAATATTTGAATATGCAAGTATGTTAAAATCTTTTAGAAAGCACATGACATATCAGTTATTTCTGGTTCATGATGTAATTTTTTTTTGTTATTCTTCGTTGTATATTGAGGAAGACATAGATTAAGTAATGGTCTGAAAAAAAGTTTATATAATAAAAATAGAAGACCAAAAATTTCCAAACAAACAATTGTAAATAAAATATTATGAAAAATAATTTCCGATCGTTTTGCAATTGGTTGTTGTAAATTTTTTACATAATATGGTGTTTCACTAATAACAATAGTTAACGTTGTTAATGTTGATGTTGAACGAACATATTGATCTTGTGTTAAAAATAAACTATTTATATCGACCACAAATGTTGGAATAAATATTCCATCAAAATTTGATTCTTCACCAATCATTGCATTTGTTTCATTGATTACTTTTGTTATATCGAGAGTAATCGGTAAATTCTGTCCTAAAGTTTCTCCTTGTTTAAAAAATGATTGATAAAAATTTAAATCTTCTAAATCATAAGGTTCAATATCTTCACCCGCTGCAGATAAACCGATTCGTAAACCTCCAATCGTTTGTGTATCAGCTAAAAGAACTTGTACAGATATATGATGATAAGGAAGTTGTATAGATAATGATAGAATAGAATTTTGATTCGTACAATTTATCCAACGGATCGGAGACCATTTTGTTCCAAATAAAGCTTGTAATGATATAACATCACAATCAATTAATGTATTTACAAATTCAATATTTAAATAAAATGTTTGATTATCTAATAAATCAAACATTTTTTGTACACCTTCTTTTACAGGAATAGATAATGATTGTATATTTGTTTGAAATTTTGCATTTCGTAATGATAAATCACATGCAAAATGTGAGTCTGATGAAGTTTCGATTGGATATTGTTTTAAAAAATTATTACTAAATGAATATGCAAAACTAACTAAAACAATAACAGCAAATGATGCTAAACCACCAAACCATAATTCACCTTCACCAATTAAATCCGTATGTTTAAAAAACCATTTTAATATATTTCGTATTCTTTGACTTCGTGGATGATTTACACAATTTTTTAATACAACCATTATAATAATGATAATAATCGCTACACCTGCGACAATTAATGTCCAAAATAAAGGTGATACAAGTAAACAATGACCTGAGCCAATATTAAACATGTTTTGAATAAGAATTTCATCGAATATTGTACTTTCTGGTGATGTCGGATATGCAGTTGCTTGCATGATTGTTTCTAATGCTGAATGTGATACATCATTAACTGAACCAAGTGGACAGAATGATCCTGATAAACATGAAATACATTGTAAACTAGAATTACCAGGATTTTTTGTACCCGTTGGACATAAAATACAATCATGAATTCCACTTCGATTTTTATAAGTACCTGGCAAACATATATGAGGTACGGTAAATATAGGCATTGATCCTGTATCTTTAACAGTTGGAAAATATCCGCTTGGTGTTGGATTAACTATAAGTACATTTCCTAAATTATCAAGTAGAGCTAATGACGACGGTGATGAAACAATATTTATAAACACTAAACTAAGACTTAATGGTACTGTTTGATGCCTATTTGGAAAAATTGATAAAGGAGTACTATTGGAATTATAACCATCATTTTTAATATCAAACAAATAGATTTCAGATGATGACCATTCATAAGTAAGTGAATAAGTATTAACTATAATAGCAGCTATGCCATTATCTAACCAAGCAACACTTTTTCCATTTCCAATTGATCTACCATTTGTATTTCTACTAAGAAAATTTAATTTATTTATATTTATTCTATTTACAGAAAATAGAAAAACTCGATTAATAAATTGCATTCCAACTAAAATATTTCCATATTCATTTATACTAACAGACATATCATATTTAGCAGCATATGTATCAGCATCTGAATTTATTAATAAATATTGCCATGTACCAATAGTACCATTAGGTTCATACTGATCAACAATAATTGGACGATTATTTGATGAATTAAAATTAATTAAATAAATCATTGGTAAATAGACTGCTGCTGTTGTATTCGTAGGATTATGAATAAAACCTGCAATAACACCATATGTATCAGCTAAATCAATAGCATGAGGTATAAATGTATTATGTGGCCATGTTTCATTTGCATTCCATAGATTTAATACAGAAGTATTATGTGAATCAAAAATAAACATAAATGTATTTGAAAAACCATAAGCAAAACGACCTTTAGATTCAACATCAATAATATAATAATCTTGATGTTCGTAGTTATAAAAATATTGTAGAGAAAAAGAATATTTAGTATTACATGTTGTCGATAGATTATTATATATTCCTACACCAACAAATGTACCATTTCTATCATTAATCAGTTCACCAGCAAAAAAAAATTGTGTTTGATTTTTAGCAATAGTTACAGTATAAATATAATGATTGAGAGCATTTGGAAAACTAATAAAACATTGTGAGAATGATGATACATAATTATAAGGCGCAAATTGAATGAGAAATACTGGTGGATCATAATCATTGTGAACTTCAATGAAAACAAATTCGTTCATTGCAATTTTTACACCATATGAATTAAAATCAGCTGTATTTGGAGTAAACTCACCATTTAAATTATATATAAATAATAGAAATAAAAAATAAATAAACAATTGAATGTTACTACTCATTCAGAAGAGTATTTGATGTTACTTGTATGAAAGAAAAATAAATAAAAAAGTAAAAGGAATTGATTTCGATATCTAAAAAGAACGAAAGTTCGTTGAGTAACAGCTGTCATATAAAACTTTCTTTCTCTATTATTGACTAGAATTACATAAAGTTGTTTTTATACTTTACCTTTATATAACATCAATGTACTATCATAATTCATTCAAAGCTTTATATATATATATATATATATGATTCATCTAGTACGATCGAGTCAAATAAGAATAATTAAATATTAATATGTGATGTCATATATATCGTTATTTGTATTTAAGACTTTATGGTAATCATTTATCACTTATTGTACCATAACATAGGTGGTAAATAAAAATATTTTAACTTGCTAAATCGATTTATATTGATTTTTAATGTGAAAATAATATTATTTTGGTGGGCAAATATTTTAAGTAACGCAGTATGACAGTTGAAGGAAAGTACTACTGAATAAATGATAGTGAAAAAAAAGGCAACAAGCATAATTTTCATTTTTACTTCATAATATTTAGAAAAAAGCAGAACGAAAAAGAACATGGTTCTTAATATTTATGACCTTGAAGTATATAAGAGAGAGAAAGAAAAAAAAAACAAATATCAAAAGTTAAAGTATTTAGATTCTTGATCACGACACTTATGTTTGTTTGTTTTTTCAGAACAAGTTAATTCGTAACATATACGCATAACATTGCATAATATTCTATCATTCCTGATGATAATACTCGTTGCAACGTACAAGGACAACTATAGACCATGTTTTTTTTATTTATTATATCCCAGATCACTATGAAGATTTGTTTTCATTTAAAAATAAACGTTGTAATCACTGATATTAAATTTCTTGCCTAATAATTCACGAAGATATTTTCAAGGTTATTCATATGAGAATATACTGTTGTACTGAATAAAAGTATTCATTAGAACTATTCTATGAATTATCTTAAGAGAAGAATTATTGAGCACTCGTATGTCACTTACTTCATTGTAATGTAGAAGCACGTATAACTATATTGAAAAGAATATTTGTACATATAGTTTATATTTATCGTTGCTCAAAGACTTTTTTCCCTTCTTATGATTAATTTTCCGAATAGTACTGTTGTTTTAGTTGAATTTATAACGAATATTTCATTATGCTCTAACATCAGAATGATATCTGTATTTGTTTACAAAAAAAAGATATAGAGTAAGCACATGTTCGATGTAAATAATCCTATTTTTTGTTAAAGCCTATCAACGTAAATATTATATATTTGCTTCATAACCGTATATTTTAGTCATTTATCACGTGAATTATCATTTATAAATTGGTCATTAGTGTATTTTTTTTTCTTTCTATTAATAAGCGAATATGCGTACGTCTCATAATTATATGAAAAAAATATTTTACGCAGCTACTTTTTGTGTGAGTTATAGTGAAGAGGAAGAAGGTACTGTTTTTTTAATTATTTTTACCTGTATCGCTACATTCTATTTACTATTTTATATTAATTGCTCATCAAATCTTAATTTGTTAGAATTAAAATTTTTTTCACATTGAAAGATATAATCAAATATATATATCAAAAAAAGTTGATAAAATAATATCTTTATCTTTTTAACTATTATAGATTTTACAATATCAATGTAATGAAGCATAGTACTTTTTCTTTATAAATATACATTTACAAAGTAAATCACAATTAACAATCTTAGTCATGGAGTCTTTTCCTGTCTTGACATAACTTTTTTTATAAACTAATATTTATTACATACTGAACGAATTTTCGATGACTTCGGACGAAAATTCTTATTCGTTAACCAACAATAATCTTACAACTTGTACTTCTTCAATTATCAATGATACAAACTTAGATACTCAGATCCTATCATTACCGACGATAATTCATATAACTCCTAATTCAAATCCACTGACGTCTCCTACTCAATTAACAGACAATCAATATGAACATGCTCATATACCTAAACGACAACAAGTAACAGTTAAAAAAATTTCACAAAATTATCTTAGACGACGACTATGTGTGAGAGAATACTATTATGTTCGACTGTAAGTAATATTTATAGATAATTTATCTTTCATTTTAGTTTTTTGTTCTAGTGCATTAGTAAGTAATATGATGTGTTTTTTGGGTACTTTGGGTATTCTTCTTATGATCATTGAAAATGAATTAAATTTTACTCATATCTATGATAAAGATTCAAAAGTTAGTTGGTTTATTAAATTAATAATTACATTTACTACGGCTATTCTTCTGGTTCTTATCTTATATTACCATCATTTAGATATAACTCTTTATTCTTATCGAAACTCACTTGAAAAGTGGAGTATTGCAATGACATCAAAGAAAATATTGTTAATTATAATTGAGATATTAATTTGTGCGATTCATCCTATACCTCGATTTTATCCGAAATTAAATCCTGAAACAATCAATTCAAATTCGTCTGAATCAAATTCTTATTCTCTATCATATACAGCAATTGATGTTGGACTTGGTCTGCCAAGTAAGTTTATTATCTTTATTCTCTTAAAAATAATAAGTTTTATATCAATAGTGTTTTTACGTTTATATCTCGTTGGTCGTTGCATCATGTTACATTCACATTTAGTTCGCGATATAACATTACGATCATTTGGATATCTCAATCATGTACCAGTTGATTTATATTTCCTTATAAAAACTTATCTTGAACAATGGCCAACACGATGTTTGTTCACATTTTGTATCACTGGATTTCTTATTGGAAGTTGGTCTTTACGTGCATGTGATTATAAAATCACAAGAGAACATATGTCTTTTTCTGATGCTATGTGGCTTTTTATTATAACATTTACTACTGTTGGTATGTTTATATAAAGAAAACTTTTGATAAAAATATTAATCTTAAATTATATTATTACAGGTTACGGAGATCTGTATCCAACAACATATTGTGGACGAAGTATGTTAAATATAGTTAATTTATTTTTTTAAATATTTTAAATTTATATCGATATATGATGATTATTAGGTATTGCTGCATTAATTGGTTTGTTTGGTCTTATATTATCTGCTCTTCTTATTGCTATTATTGCACAAAAACTTCTCTTAACTAGAGATGAAAAATATGTTCATACCTTTGTATTGAACACTAAATTAATTAGGAATCGTAGAAACTACGCAGCAAATGTAATAAAATTTGCAATAAAAGTCTGGTATTTAAAACGACAAAATAAACATAAATCCTTTCAATACTTTCAAGCGCATCGAAAATTATTTGGATCAATACATCATTTTCAAAAAATTAGACAAGAACAACGAAATCTAGATGATCAATGTGTAGGTTTTATTGAATTAATGGCTTTACAGCAAAATACTAATATTCAGGCAAAAGAAGCAATTGAACAAATGATGGCATTCAAAAATGAAGTAAAAGAAATTAAAGAAGAACTGTTTAGTATGAATCGTAATATATGTAATTTACAAAAAACATTACATGTTTTACTTGAAAAAGGCACAATATAATATAGATATTCATTGGGAACGTATACAGATACTTATCTTTATCTTATATTTGAATAGCAAAATTACATAAACAATGTAGTAATAAAACTCGATTATTTATTTGCAAAACAGTTTCCAAATAATAAAGTCAGTTATTTCTATTTGATAGATGATAACTATTAATTTTTTTAATGTGTGATGAAGACAAAACGGATTTTTATTGATCGATCTATTTTTACATACTATGTAGCTCGTTTGTTTCTTAGAAAATAAAATATTAAATAAAAAATGCATATCTAACGAATGTCTGGTATAGCGATATAAAGTACATCACCACTATAGAGAACAATTATTTCTTAAAAAATCCAATATAACTAAGATTAGAAAAGAATATATACGTAGTCACATGGAGAAGAAAAAGAAGATTTGTAGAGTGAACTTACTAATATACATGTGCCGACTCCACGTGTTCATTTCATATCGAAGAAAATAGATACTTGTTTTATATTCAATATTTTTTCGAATAATTTAGAAATAATTCAAGAAAAGAAATGAACGTTTTTGTAAGCTTATAAACCAGTAATATGAATAACAAAATATTATTTTTTGCTATTGAATTATCATGTGAGAAATTGTCACAATAGTTTCTATGTGAAAAGTGGGACGCTCGATAAAAGTGTCTGATTAGAACGCGTACTTTCTAAAAGTCTATACTCGGTTTGAGATATTCGGGTATTATATTGATTCAACATATATTCTCGCCATTTCTACCTTTATTCATAACAACACTAAGTTCATTAGCTTGAAGATAGATAGTGAACTTAATATTAAAAATTTTGATATCACTCTAATATCTTTATTTATATTTATTACAGAATGGATATAGTTATTGGAACGTATCAGTTATATTTGTCAAGAAGAAAAACATTTCAAACAGCACCAATTATATTTAACAGATTCATTCTACTTCATTTATAATTATTATGTATAGTCAATGTAAAATTCACAAAATTATAATTATTCAGATATCGGGTTGAACTAATTAAAGATAATCCATTAAGTTAATTTTTCCCTCATGTACGTGATTTATCTTATTTTATTAAGAAAACATACCAAATAATTAATAGCAAAAATCAAATTATGATCCGTTTTGACGTTAATAGTCTTTTTATACCAAAGTTTCTGACTATGAAGCGATTGACACAACATTGAATATGGTGTTTTAAAAACAAGGGCTACCATCAATATCTTTTAATCATGACGAATTAATGAAGGAAATTTTTCAGATTACTGCTTGTGACAAACATATTCGTTTCATGTATCAAATGTATATACAGTGCGACGGAATAGCAATGGGATCACCTCTAGGGCCAGTATTAACAAACATCTTTGTGACTAATTTCGAAATTAAATAAGATAAAATTTCGACTAATAAACCGGCATTAGAACGTTACGTCGACGATGTCTTTTGGATTTTTACGAAAAATCAAAACATCGATGTCTTTATCAAAAGAATTAATAGTTGATATTCAAAAATAGAATCATATTATAGACTATGAAGACGATGATATATTCAATATTCTCAACTTATTAGTGATACATGTAATGAGATTGATATAATCAATACACCTATTGTGCTACAGAAAACCAAATAATACAAGCTTGACGTGTTGTATGATAGACATCAATGTCAGAAATAGAATTAGATTTACCTCGTACACTCTTCATTTGTATCCCATTATTTAGTTCGATGGACAGCCTTAAATATGAAGAAACTACCTATTCAGAAGCATACAATAGAATTGAATGGATATCAATATCATCTAATATGATGGAGTATTTGTTAACATCCGATTAAACGCATTCAATGGTAGCATGATTCTTATAATAAAAGATGATATTATTTACATTTATTTGCTATGAATTATTATCAAATGCATTGGTACAAAGATGGTACGTATTTATCACAAATCTTTATTAAGTATTAACAGTAGCATAGCGTTTTAAAAAACTTATACTTGAAGAAATATATTCGTTGACCTTGGTTAAACATATCATTAAACAAATTCACTCATTTAATCTCCGGAAACGTCTAGATTCGTCGTAAATTAATTAAACAAAGCTTATCTACTCGTTACATATTAGAAAAAATAGTTCGATGAACAACATCAATAAATTAATATCATCTATCAATCATTACTGTTCTTTTAGTATTGATTCGTAACATCAAGACAGTTTTCTTTCTTTTTTTTGTATTGTTACTTTCGCCAGTGGCAGACGTATTCTGTGAAAAACTTGAATAAATTGTCTTTATGTTGAAAATGTACTGATTTTCATAGCAGTATTATTATAGATACATATATATTTCGAGGGTCACTGTAAAGTGACCACATTCACTTTTAAATCGAAAGAGACCGAAAAGTTGAATCCAGAAACGTAACATCCATTATCGTTTGATCTATTTACAAAGGTTTATACTTATAACTAATCATACATAATAAATGTTTGAAAAATGGAACGTAAAGACACGGCATATTTTGACTATTAAAAATTAAAATAGTTGTTTAACGTTTCGATCTTTTAGAAGATCATTATTAAGATTTACAGTTGTTTAAAATGAACTACATTTCATTGAATTTGTTAATATTCCTACAGTGAGAAAATAGTGTGACAGTTTACATGAAAAAATAAGAAGAGCGAGAGACAGATGAAATGACTAGTAATATAATAGCAAGAGCTTATCTACATAAAATATAGAAGAGAGATAAAAAAAAGATATAGTTTTCACGTGTTTGATATATATATGTATATTATATTTGATTCTTTTATTCCTTATTTCTAATTCTGGTTGGACATTGTTTATGTATTCCATTTGGGTAGATGTATAATTGAACTGAATGTGTTGCCCTATTTAGTCCCTGTTCAAAAGGTTTGATTAATAAAGATTCTTTAACTAATAGTTTATGTGGATCATTTCCATTTAATACCACTTTTGTATTTATCCAATGAATTGTATGATTTTTCTCTTGCAGATGTATTGTAATTGCCGATACGTTACTATTTTTATTATTGAGGGTGTGGGTGTGAATGTGAGTGCTGGTTTATATTTGCTGATAATACATTTTAAATTCCTCTTTAATGCTTCGATTGCGCTTTAATATATGGTAATTCAAAGTATACCTTCTATTTTTCACATCCTATTATCTTAATCTTTTCTTCGTGCTTTTGCTGTTGTAATTGTAGATACTTTTCTAGTCCTCTTGCTATATGTTGTTCGATAAATGTTAATGAAAATGAATTAGCCATTGCCATTTTTCGAATGTATTCAAATTTATATGCTAATGCTTTGTGAATGGAACATATTCTAAGTAATCGTTGTATCATATTTACTATATTTGCTTCTTTAAATTGTATTGGGATAAATTATAAATAACTGATCATAAGTTCTGTATAGGTTTCTTTACGGTACATAGTTGCACCGAAATTTTAACATGTTTTGTGAATGATTAACTTTAACTTCAAGGAATAATAATGAGTTATTTTTTTCAACTTCATCTGTGAATTTAATTGATTCAATTAAAATAAACGTGTCATCAACGTATCTGTACCATGTATAGAATCCTTCTTATTTTAGTTGGTCTATTAATGAAATTTCTAGATGATTCATAAATATGTCAGCGAGAACTGGTGCAATAGATGCACTCACTGCAACACTATTATGCTGAACATACATTCTATTGTTGAAGAAAAAATTGACTTCTGATGTTGCCGTGTTCAATAAGGTATGAAAATCTCACGTTTCTGACGTGACTGGTCGTAATGGATGGTTTTGTTTATGTATTTTTGGAAGTCTATAATTCTTTATCTGCTTTGATCCTGTTGGTCTGGCAGTATCGTATTCTCGTTCAGTAATAGGTTTCTTCTTTGTCAATTTCAATTATAAGTTCATTAATTTATTTTCGTTATCGTATGTAGAATCGTTATCAATCATTTTAAACGATAAAGTATCATTTGGTAGCATTTCTAATCTTTTGAGTGTATTGTACACGATTCATAATTACAATCCTCCTTCCTTTATCTAGTCTTGTAATGATTAATGATGGATTTTTTGCTAGCTGTTTAAGTGTATGTATTTATTATTGATCTATGTTGTGTTCCGAAATTTTTAAATTCCCGTTTTGATTTATTTTTAACTTTACTTGATATTGATCTAATTTCATCAGCTATATCCATTTGTGTTGACGTATGTTTTTGTTCATAACGTCAATATTTAGTTTGTATAAGTCATTAAACGTGCATAAAGATATTCTATATTACACACGAAATTTGATTCGTCCATCATTTCTTAGGGATAGATACAGTGTAATCCAATTTCAAGTGTATTCACTTCTTCTTGAGATAATTGTTAACTTGAAAGATTCTTTTCAAAGTTTTCTTCGTCAAATGCTGCTATTACAACTAACTTTCATCATTATTATTGTTAGTAATATTTTATTATTATTGTTGACTGGGTGTGGGTGAAGATAAGACCCATGTCCACAGTCCTTCAGATTCAAACTTTCTTTCTTATTTACAGATTCCTTATTTATGATTATAAAAAGACATTTTTTATTCAATTATATTTTCAAGTAGAACCTTTCTATGGTTAAGTTTTGCTTTTATTTAACAATAATAAAATTTAGTTTTTCTTATTTAACAAAATACACTATAAACACATTTACGTACGATTTTGCCATTTTTGAACAATACGTGCAGCTTGTTCCTCGCTCACTGCTTGATTTGCTAGCAAATCATAATTCATTTCATCTGTTTTGACATCTGTGCTAGTGACAGAATAAGTTGGATGCTGCATCTGTTGATAAGAAGCTCCAGGAAGTGGATGCTGAACAAATGGCGGAGGAGGTGCCTGTTGGATATACGATAAAGGGACTGGCGGTCTAATAAAGGAAGGAGCAACTGCCTGTTGGTAATACATGGAAGGCGGTGGTTGCTGCGCTTGAAATTGTTGCTGCATTTGAAACATATTAGTGCATTTAGAATATGATTCCTTAGCTAATGTTGAATGCGCTCCTGCAAAATTGGCCATTTGTTGCACATGCATATTTTTAGAAGCAAATAAATGAGCTATTCTCTTCGCTTTTTCTTTTTCATCAACACCGTCAGCTTCGGCTTTTTTCATTTCACGATCAATATCTTCTTGAGCATTTTGCATCAAATGATCTAATGATATTTCTTCACGTACTCCACCTATGATTACTTTCGCTAACAATTTAGCATTGATCATTGGTACATATTGTCCACCAGTTATATATGCCAATGACATGAAAAAATCACGATACGGCACTAGATAGAAAACAGAAAAAAAGAGTTATTTAAAAATCATATATAACAAAAATATTGATAGATATATTACTAATAGGTGGTTCAACACCAACGGTGTAGAGTGTTATATGTTTTTGAGCCATATCACGAACAATCTGAAAAGGATCAAGACCAGCAGGACATGCGTTTGGGAAACCATCACCAACTGGATCGAGTCCATGTGGTGGTGCATCAGATATAAGAATAGCAATTTTAGTAGATTGAGTACGCCATGATAATTTGAGAACATCATGAAGAGCATCAGCAACTGCTTCAGGTCCATCACCACCACCATGTGCTTGACACTGTTCTAACCATCCTTTCATTTCATTTACTTTACTTGTAAAATCATGTACGCGTGTAACAAAAGTGGCCTCCTAAAGAAAATGAAGTGTTTTTATTTATGAAGTTATTTTTTGTTGTTGTTTTATTAAACTAACTTGAGGTGGATGGTCTCGATATTCGACAAGAGCCAAACGAACATCACTCTTTTCACTTACGACAATTTCTTCAACAATTTCACGAATATTATCTCTAGCACTCTCAATATATGATGCCATAGAACCAGTACAATCCATTGCAAATACAAGATCTAAATATGAATATGTTTATAAAGTTATTTACATGAAAATATGATTTTCTTCAAAAACAAAATTTACCGAGAATAGAAGCATCATGTTTAGCTAATTCAGGTCGATCAGGTTTTGTAATGTGAAGAGATGAAGTCATAATTGAATACTGTACTTGACGAGCTTTGAGTGAATAAAAATAAGAAATGAATAAAATAAGAGTTATAATACTGCTTTTATATACTACCCTTTCTGTCAATAAGTTGTGCAATTTTACTTCGTGATGCACGGAACAAGAGAACGTGGCAAATGAGTCATTATCAATCCTTACTTGTAATATGTAAAAGGAAAAAATCCATCTATACGTGTATAAACGATAGAACATACTTATATGACACAATATAAGAAGAAAACTAACTTCATTTACATTCTAAGAAACTACAAACTTGTAGAAGAGATGATGAAAATATTAAAACTTTGATTTAATAAAAAATAATTTGTTAAAATGTTCCCAACTCATTTTTTTTGTAATTTGAGAGAATAAATTAAAAATAAATTTTATATAATTCAATAACAGAGTAACAAGACAATGAACTAATTTTCTATATACTTTTATGATATACTAGTTTGTCTGTTATATTTTTTTAAGTGTTATTATTTGAAATAAAAGTTCATATTTAAGTATTTTCTTCTCAAGTACTTCCACTAGAATATTTATTTTTTGATAAAATTTAATTTTTTATTAAACATGATTTTCAGCTACATTGGAGTATCATCAAAATCTTTTAAACAGATCATGTTTGCGATGTCATTATTAATTATACTGAATGAATGATTTAATATAAAGAAGTCTATACTATAAATATAAAAATAATTAGTTTAGACATACTTGTATTTCATACCGAAAAAAACCTAGAATTATTTTCTAGATATGGATTTTCTGTTAGAAAAAGAAAAAGATAAATAGAAAACACTTTTACTTATCTGTATTAAATAAAATAATTGAAAATTCATATGTTGTATTTTTCATCTATCTATTAACAATGAATACGACATTAAAGAGTGTTAGTAGTGCTCTTTTAGATGCACCTTATCAACTAAATATATGGTTTGGTTCATTTCTTTGGATATTAGGCAATTTTGGTAATATTGGAAATGTAATTATATATAGTCATCGATCATATCGTCAACGAGCTTATGGAATTTATTTATTAGGTGAAGCAATATCAGATTTTATTTATATTGATTTTCTATTACTTACAAGAATACTTCAAAATGGTTTTCAAATATCAATAACTGGACATTATAATTTTATTTGTAAAATTCGACAATTTGATTCTGTATGGAATCCATTAGTTTCACTTACTTTATTTGCATTTGCAATTATTGATAGAATATTATCTGTACAACGTTCAAATAGTAAGTCAATATTATTATACAAATATTTATTGGTTCATTATCAGATTTATTTTATATATATATGTATGTTTAGTAGTACGAGGAGAAAAACAATATTTATAAATTCTTTTTTATCCTTATAATAGTAGAAAAAATTGAAAAATAAATCATTAACTTGATCAATCGACTTTTCAAAAGTTTTAAAAGAATTTTTATTTGCGAAGAATAAAGTGCAGTTATAAAAATAAAAATGAGAACATCTTTATTATTATTTATTTTAATCAAGTTACTGTTCATAGAGTTCAAAGCAGTCCCAATTATAAGATAAAATTGAGTGAACAAACATTGAAGATGGAGAATCTCATAGAACATCAGTATTGAAACAATTTCTCATAATAGATAATATATTTTTTCTTTTTTAAGAATATCGTCAGTGGACCAATCGTGTAAAGTTATCTTATAAAATATGTATTGCAATTCCATTATTTTGGTTAGTATTTTTTGCTCATCGACTTATTTTATATAATATTAGAAGTGGAAGCTGTAATGCTCTACCAGGCTTTTATGCATCATTTGATAGTTATGTTGAAGCTGGTTTTACAGCACTGGGTGTACCATTAGCAATGGCAATGCTGGCATTTTTCTTATTACGAAGTATTAGAAGTGTTACTCATGGGAAAGTTGTTCCTATTAATAATAATCAACCAGTAGCAACTACAACACGATCAAATCTTCAACAGATTGATTCCCAAGTTGCATTCATGCTTCTATTACAAATAGCTATTTCTATATTAACACGTATACCATATGTTGCTCAAGTTCTCTATTCAAATATAACTCAATATTGGTCAAAATCAGAATTACATATAGCTATAGAAAATACTGTTATTGAATTTATTCGTATATTATCATATGTATTTTTTACTACTAGTTTTTATGTATCAATTATTACAAATGGAAGATTTCGTCGACAAGTTAAAGGTTTATTTCAAAAAAAACAAGTTATTGATCATACAACTCAATAGATACTATTTTGAAAGGAGAATTATATCTCGAAATGTTGATTTTATTATAGTATGATTTTCTTTTCTCTCTATGATTATGACATAAATAACATAGTATATATTTCTAATCCTTGTGAAATTGCGTGTCGTGAACACTTTTTTCAAAATAAAATCAGTCCTGAAAAAGATTAAGTTAAATTTAATGTGAATTATATTATTGATTCAACCTGATCGAGATGCATTTCACCCACATCATTTCATAGTTGCGAAGAGTGATAGATCAGATTTTTCTAGCAAAAACTCAAATCGCCTCGAATACTCAAGTATTATATGCATTAGCTCTTCTCAATTTATACAATCAAACAGTTTGATCGATTTTTAAAAAGTAGTTTTTTTATTGTAGAATATGCTATGAGGATAGAAATGACATATTTTAGTACAAAATCTGTGTACTTCTTTTCTTTCTCAAATATTAATTGATTAAAAATAGATGACGCTACTTATTAAATGAAAGATTTCAATTAAATTATCTTTGATTAGTCGCAGAACAATATCCAATAAATTGAAGATTCAAATAAAGATTTAATAATATAATAAAATAAAAAATTTCATGTCGATAAAACTGTTAAATCATCGTGTATTATCATCTCTATTACTTTTTGTTAAACGTTCGGTAAATGTTCAACCTAATTTTGATTTGGGTAAACAAATGAAATTATCTAACGATAATAAACAATTTAACAAGACAATTGAATTATTTGATAAACAGATGAAAAATAATACTAAAATGTTTTCAAGTTTGATAATTACTCAAGTTTTGAAAGCATGTGCTCATCTAGAAGATATTCAACGTGGTAAAACGATTCATCAACTTATATCATCACGTATAAAAGATGATTCTTACATATCAGCATCATTAATTCATCTATATAGTAAATTCTAATAAATTAACTTTTTTTTATTAGTTTTTTTCTAATAAAGTGCAGTGTGGTGATGTGGCAAATGCTGAATTATTATTCGATAAATCAACAAAAAAAACCTTATCAATCTATGGAGCAATGATGAAAGGTAAGAACTATTTAATTTATACAAGTATATTTAAATAAACGTTTCTGCTTAGGTTATATAAAAAATAATCAAGCAAATAAAGCAACTGATATTTTTGATGAAATTAAAAATCCTGATGAAGTTATTCTAATTCTTCTATTTAATGCTTGTTCTCAATTGAAAACTGCAGAAGCATTAAATCTAATGAACAAAGTTTTTCAACAAATGCCAAAATCGTTTTATTCAAATCATCGTCTTTTAACTTCTTTATTCGATGCATTTATTAAATGTGGAGATTATTCAAGTGCAAAAATTCTATTTTCAAAAATACCAAAATCTGTAGAAAGTTATGGAAATTTAATGAATGGATTTAATCGTGAAAATAATCCTTCAGAAACATTAGAGTTATTTAATCAAATGCAAAGTGATCATATCAAAGCAAATACTATTATTTATTTATGTGTTATCAAAGCTTTATCACAAATTGGTGATTATTCACTATCTCAATCGATAATTAAACAAATTCCTCATCATTTTCTTGTTAATAATCAACTTCAAAATGCATTAATCGATATGTGGGTAAGCTGAAAAGCATCATTTCTTTTATTTGAAATATTTTCTCTTTAAACAAATGATTTTAGGGTAAAGTTGGATATGTTGATAAAGCTAAAGAAATCTTTCAAACAATTCCTAAGCCTGATTATATCGGATACACAGCAATGAGTATATTTTTATTCTTCTTTAAAAAACAACAAGTATCTTCGATTATTTGTTAATAATTAGTTAATTGTTATGGTTTAAATGGTCAAGGTAATCAAGCAATTGAACTTTATCGTAAAATACCGAAAAAATTTATTGATGAAGTGACACATGTTTGTGTTCTAAATGCATGTTCACATTCCGGATTGGTTGACGAAGCACGAACAATCTTTTTAAACATTGAAATGAAAACAAATAAAATTTATACTGCTATGGTATAAGATAGAATTTTCTTTTTTAAAATATTGATATTTTCTTTTTGATTAGATTGATTGTCTCAGTCGTGCATCATTTTTTGAAGAAGCACAGAAGTTAATTGATGAATTTGAACATGATCATTCGCCTATCATACCTATTTATAGTTCGTATTCTTTTTAATAATTTTCGAAAGAAAACAGTCTCTGCATAAGTGTGTCTTATAAAGTAGAACTTGGGTAAATCTTCTCTCTATCCTCATAGAAAATAGAAATATTTTGACAAAAGTTTTTCTAATGAGATAAATTTTAATTTAATTATTGCTCTTCTAGTGTCATTGTTATCAGGTGCTCGAAATGAAAAGAATAGTCATTTATGTCAACAAGTTTTTGATCGTATGAAAAAACTTTTTCCTGAAGTTGGCAATTCATATCCATCAGCTTCAGTTCTTCTTGCTAATGTTTACGCAATATCAGGCGATATGGAAAAAGCATCAAATATTCAAAATCAAGTGAGTAAATCACAGGTGAAGAAAGAAATTGGTCTTTCATGGACAGTCGTTAATGGACAATATTTTGTAAGTTTACTACTTATTTATTCAATGAAAGAATTAAATCATGTGATTTTTTTCTCTTTGTAGAAATTTCGAGCTCATGATAAATCTCATCCTCGATCAAAAGAAATCTATGCTCTTGTTGATCATATATCCAAAAGACTTATTGAACGTGGTCATCAATACGATTCAGCTTGGATTACACGACCATTAGATGCAGATGAAACTGTTATATCAGTACTTTGTGGACATAGTGAAAATCTTGCAATAGCATGGAATTTACTTGAAAATCCTAATCCATCACGAATACAGATAACAAAAAATCTTCGTATTTGTGGTAATTGTCGTAAGTGATCATCTATGTTTTCTGTTCTCTATTTTCTTCTTTTTGATAGATCAAGCAACAAAATTAATTGCTGCACTGTACCAATGTGAAATAATTGTTCATGATGCACATCGTATCCACCATTTCTACAAAAATGGACAATGCTCATGTAACGATTATTTTTAATATGTAAAATTACATTTGTTTTTGTTTTCTTGTAAATAAAAATAGAGAAAGACATTATAATATATTTATTCGATACTATTTATTTGTTTACATAAAACTAATCATTGTATGTAGTTTTTAACATTAAAATGAATTGAAAACTAAAGGAGTATATAAATAAAGAACTTCATTATCATTAAATAAAACACGAAATTGTCATTCGAAAAAACTTGAATACTTTAAATATTTGTAAATAAATTACTTTATGATAGTTATACGAAGTAAAAATAAATAAATTTTAGTTTTTTATTTACTATAATCCATAAAGATAGTTAGGAGTTTCTATCATTTCTAGGTAAAACGTCATCATATTAGAAGAATGTAATTATTAAACTAAAATCGTTGAAACATTCAGTTAGCAAAAGCAATGGAAAAAAGTTGTTGTTAATGACTAAAATAAAAGAATTAAATAAATATTTTTTGAAACAAAAAATATTACTAATTGTGTTTTCTCTATGAAATTTAGTTAACTAGGGAGATAAGAGAAATAGTATTCATATGTCTAGCTGAATTCTTTTTTTCCATAGACTTTAATAACATATGGATTATAAATAATTGCATACTTGATATGATGTTTAAATAAAAGAAAGTTATACATAAAAGGACAATTCTTTTTCTGCTTCTATACTAATTACAAAATATTCTTCATCTGCGACAGCATCGAAGACGTTTGAGAAAAAAGTCTAATATAATTTATCAACAAAGCAGAACAGTAAAAACTCTTCCTTTTGTGAACAACATTTCATCAAATTTCAGGTATTTTTTTTTCTACATTTTAAGAGATTTCTATGAGTATTTAAAGTAAAATATTATAAAAATCTAAA